GTCCATAACTACCAAAACATATTTACCAAAATTGCCACGACGCAGATTCTGTTGTTACTAATGAAAGCGTCTTCAGAATCGAACCCATGGCGAAAAGTGTTGGGGAGATAAATTATGGTTCATGAAATTATGGATAACACCTTACAAGTGGGACGCCGATGCTGTAGACTATTTAACATCGAAAAACGAGATATGTGAAGTCGAGGAAGATCCTATAGAGCCTTTGAGCGATGTGGAAAATTTAAAGCAAGGTGAGTGTTCTTCCGGGCCTGAGCTTGCCGACAGACTCTCAAACTTTTATACTGAGAGAGAGCTTTTAAGCGACTCTCAGGAAGAAGAAGATATAGCAATATTTAATGCGTCTTCTACAAATTAATCTTCATCACAGCAAACTAGCTTCAGCAGCCCTGATTACCGGTGTGGCAATAAAACAGTCTGAGTTTGTTATTCAGAAGCCATGTGTCAATGGATGGCGTATCTGCGTACTGAGTACACCAAACTACAAGCTATATATGGCAAATTGTGAACGTAAGGTCAGAGCATGCATAATGAATGGCAAAGAAAAAAACGTTTTTATATTACATCATTATAGCAACAATAACGCAGCAGCACTAAGCTGGTAAAAGGGCAAAAGTAGTTACCGGCTGGTGTCATGCTTTATCTCATACGACGAAAAGCAGGTGCCACCTCTGATGGTAAAAGAGGTGGTACGGGATAGGGAGGCATCCAAGTGCATGATTATGCTTGGATGCGACTCAAACGCGCATCATACAGTCTGGGGCAGCACAGATGTCAATGAAAGAGGTGAGTGTCTCTTCAATTATCTACTAGTCACTAAGCTTCTGTTGTGTAATAAAGGTAGTATGCTAACGTCATTACAGGAAACTGGCAATAAGTACTAGATATCACACTAGTGTCGGAAGAACTAGTTAACAGGGTAAGCCAATGGAGAGTCCTCGAAGAACAGTTCTTTTCGGATCACCGATATATTGAACGTATAATAAAGGAAAGGGTCGATAGAGGCAATAACTTCAGGAATCATAGGAAAACGAACTGGCTGGTGCTTATGCAAGACCTGGAAAAACGTATGCCTATGATTCCTCCGTTTCAGCTCAAAAGCAAGGAGGATCTCGACATTGTAACCATTCTTAAGGGGTAGCTGCAATTAAACCATATCCCTTCGCTATGGAGGGAAATCAAGGTAATAAAAATAACTAAGGCAGGCAAAAGCTCGCATACAAGTCCAAAATACTTCAGACCAATTAGTCCCATTCCTCATTCCTGCTAAAAACGTTGGAAAGGCTAATAGAATTACATATAAGAAGCAAACTAAAACCAGGAAAGTTGGCTGGTTCGCAGCATGCGTGTTCTAAAGGAAAATCCACAGAAATAGCACTAAGCTCTGTAATACACTCTAATTGTCTTCTTAGATACAGAAGGAGCCTTCAATAATAGGGCCATACTGGGAAACTTACTAAGTTTCCGTTTCTACCTACAACCACGGATTGCCGTAATCCAATAGAATTGAAACTAAATTCGGTCTACAATTTTGCTTTCAACAAATTGCGGTGCAGTCTAGAATCAGGTGTTCCGGTGCTTCCGCCCCATGTCGCACAACCGGCAATTTTCAAAAGAAGCTATGCCCATGTTAGACAGATGTTTATTGAGCCTGCAGGGCCCAGTGTAGAGCGCGCCAAGGAGCCGGAGCTTGTCTCTGGGGAGGTAACCTGGCTAGATCCGTTTACCAGATCACTTCAGTGTCTTCCAAGCGGAGATCACAGCAATTAAAGAAGGTCTTGACATTTTGACAAAAAGTGTGCTCACTACAAGAAGCATATATGTATATATATAGCGGCCTAGAAATCACTCAAGTCTTCTTTAATTTTATCAGAGATAGTAAGAGAATGTCTTGATCTATTAGAGGATCTAACATCCTACTTCACGATAAACCTGCAATGAGTTCCAGGGCATAGTGATATCCCTGGTAGCTGCGAATCAGATGAACTAGCCACAAGTGGTACCACTCTACAATTAACCTCTGAAAAGAATGTTTATGCCTCTGGCAACTTGTAAACACTTAACCAGCGAACATGTTATAAATCCAGCTGAGACTCGGTGGAGGCAATCACTGACTTGCTCAACCAGCAGGCAAACGATGCAGGAATGGAGCATGAGCCGCACAAACTGCTAAAATTCAAAGAAAATGACATAAGAACACTGATAGGATTACTAACAGGTCAATGACTGGAAGACATGCCAGTAGGCTAGGTGTAGCTAACAACTATTATTCTAAAAGCTATTAGGAGGCAGAAGAAGAGGAGACTGTAAAACATCTTATATGCGAATGTAACGCTATATACAGGAAAAGAATCGCAACAATCGATCGAGGGATCCCTGACAACGTATCGGAAGTTGCTCATATAAAATTATTTATACTGATGAACTTCATCAGAAGCACAGGTTGGTTCAGAGAGTCGACAATAGAGTGAGGGAACATTATTCCCTTATCTACCTACCTACCTAGTGAGTGTTTATTAACATTGCGCACTCATGAGATAGGTCGTATCAGCTGATTCGGTCTTCGGTTTTGCTTCTGACTGTTTCCAGCATAAGTGAACAATAACAAGTCGTTAACACGTTTGCTAACAGTAATTCGCTCTAGGGACATATCTGCCCAAAGCAATTTCGCAAATATCATCATATACACACACATAAATATTGCCTTCCTCAATGGCCAAAAATTTGATAGCTGGTTAGTAATAATTATTGCCATGGATTGTGAATACAGCAATTTAAGTGTACTACAGTTGGTATCGATATTTGTACTTAATAATTTAATATTGTAACGGATTTCTCTATAAATCGTCTACCTGTAACTCACTCTAGAGTTCGATCACTGGATTGTTAAATAAAAGTCCCAATTTAATGGCTACACACTAATCTTTATTTCTAATTAATTGCTCTTATCACGACAACACTCTAACTAGAACTGTGTTTGCTGCACAATCCGGCAGCACTTATATAGTATCTCTGTAACAAAACATTGCTTCTAGAACATTCTGGCAACTCCGAATTCGCTAACTAGTTGCTTCTGGCAGTTTATCGTTGATTCGATTTTGTTCTATCATCCGTGTTCGTCACACTGCCCTCCACCTAAGTCTGATCGTTCCGATTAGACATATTTGCGATACCAAACACAAAGCTTTTATGTCCCCCATCTCGTCTTCTAGGCTGGTGCTGACATCGTTAGCCGTCCTTCTCTTCTTGGAGTTAATTCCATCCGTTTTTCGGATACTCAGTTTCTGGTACATCCCTTGACTTAAAGCTGACTCGAGATTCCATTCTTGATCAGAACGTAACTCCATTGGAACACCGAATCTCGTTACCCACTTGTTGATGAATGCCTCCGCCACTGGTTCAGTCTCCTGGTTAGGAATTGTGTATACTTGTGGCCATTCATTGAAATGGTCCTAGACTACCAAAACATGACTATTTCCTAATTTATTGGTGGGGAATGGACCATTTTCATACACGCCTATTTTCTCAACTGGCGCACGCGAATTGTGCTGTTTCATCTGCCCATGACTCCTGGACCTTGATCCTTTAGCTACAATGTTCTCAGCATATTTCGCAATCCTTTCTATAGCTGATTGAGAACCAGTCCAATAAAACCTTTGCTTCAAATGCTCCAAGGATTTCATGTCTCTCAAGTGCCCTCCTCTTGGACATTTGTACTGCACGTTAAGAACATCAGGAATTCCAACCCTTGGAAGAACCATAAGTACTCGGAAGGTTTGCCCATTTTCGCTTTTCCATAATCGATGCAAGCAGCCATACACTAACTTTAAACTGCTCCGTTCTGCCCAATATGATTTTGTGACTGGCCTTCCTGTAGTTATTTCTCCAATCGTTGTACATTGGTTTAACTCCACCTTATGTAATGCACCTTCCAATTCTGGATCTTCTTGCACAGAGTCATCCAATTCAGGTTCAATTTTATGCTGATCTTCCACCTGTGATGGTATACACGCTTCCTGCTGTTCCAACTGTAAGAACACTTGTGCTGGTATCCAAGCTTTTTGCTGTTCTAACTGTGAGGAACCTTTTATTGGTTTACACGCTTCCTCCTCTTCCAACTGTGGGAACACCTGCCCTGACATACGCAGTTCCAGCTCTTTCGACTGTGAGGACCCTTGTACTGGTACACACGCTTCCTCCTCTTCCGACTGTGAGGACACCTGCGCTGACATATTCACGTCGAGCTCTTTCGGTGCTGACAACTGTGCTGAAAAACGTTCATGTTGCGCTGCGAACAGCTCTTCCAAATGCGTTGACAATCGCGTTTCTTGCTCTTTAAATTGTGTCGACATTTGCGTTGATATTTGAGACATACGTGTATCCTGCTCTTCAATTTGTGTCGATATTTTCGATATTACAGCAAAAACAATGTTTATGTCCACAATCTTTGACGAGCATTGAGCCTCTTCCTTTTCTTCTATCTTTGTTGTCTCTTCTTCTAATTCCATGTGAAAGACATATTCCTCAACATTAATGTTTTCCGCCTCCATGGCCTCTCTCAACCGTGATTGTAATTCAGTTTTTAATCCATTTGTCGCCAAACAACGTTGCTCCAGCTCCTTTTTCAGTTGTGGAACGTTCAGATCGTTAAACTTGGCCATTTTTAAATAATTATCTCCTTGGGAATTTATTTGACAATCCCACTTCTGACACCAATTGTAACGGATTTCTCGATAAATCGTCTACCTGTAACTCACTCTTGAGTTCGATCACTGGATTGTTAAATAAAAGTCCCAATTTAATGGCTACACACTAATCTTTATTTCTAATTCCAATAACTTAACACTTATTGCTCGTTATTTGAGCTTACAACTTCTTGCTTATAGCTTAATTGCTCTTATCACGACAACACTCTAACTAGAACTGTGTTTGCTGCACAGTCCGGCAGCCCTTATATAGTAAATCTGTAACAAAACATTGCTTCTAGAACATTCTGGCAACTACGAATTCGCTAACTAGTTGCTTCTGGCAGTTTATCGTTGATTCGATTTTGTTCTATCATCCGTGTTCGTTACAATATTTTACTACCTTTTTGTTATCGATCGCTACTGGGAGTTATTGTTTGGGTAAATTGCTGTTATGGAAAGGGAAAACAATTTCTGTGAAGAAAATGTCGAGCCCATGGCGAAAAAAATTAAAACAGAGTGGGTTAAAAGCTATTCTGATAAGGCCCTGCTTATGATGACTAGAATGGGTTATGAAAAGAACAAAGGTCTTGGGAAGCAGAATCAGGGTCGTCTTGAACCTATTATAGCTGTACAACAGGATGGCAGAAAAGGATTGGGTTTGAAAGATGAGTGTCCAGTGTCCGTGGAAGCGTGGGACAGCACTATTGAAATAATAAACCTACCAGAAAGTTATTCATGGATAACAAATAATGCGGAGTTCGAAATAACGTTGGACGATTTAAAAGAGAATATGATCGTAGGTCCTAGTAAACGAACAATTGATGATGAATGTTTATACTGCAGTTCAGACATTTTAAATAATATATTAAAAGCAAAATCTGAATTTGACAAATTAAACGACAGCGAATTGAGAAGAGCACGATCACGGTCTAATCCATTTGAAACAATCCGTAGCTCTATATTTTTAAATAGAGCTGCTGTTAAAATGGCGAATATTGATTCTATGTGCGATTATATGTTTACAAATCCTAGATATGTGGACGGGACATCAATGCTGCAAAATAACGAACTTTTATATTTTGCCGATATTTGCGCAGGTGAGTGGAAAATGTAACTTAATTATATATGCCTTGTTATCATGGGATTTAGAATATAGAAATAGATATAGAATTAGAGTTTCTTTAATTTATAATGAATTGGGTGGCCTTTTGAATACGGGGAAATCTCATCTACTATGAGCTGCTTCCAAGGTCTTAATCAGGACATATTCTGTCAACAATTTGACCATATGAAGAAAGCATCCGCATTGTCCACAACAGCTTTTTCTAAGAGGAGAGGATTTGTGATCTATCAGGCCAACGCCCACAAACATCAATAGTTCTGTTGTAAAATTTGTCTCAAGTTTTTGAAAATCAACTATCAGGTTTTTAAAAATAGAAACGAAGGCTTCTATTAGTGTAGCATTATGAAATTAGCTTAAAAATGCATAGTGCTTAGCTTAAAAGTGACAGTAGAACGTGCTGCTACAAGTGTCGTCAAAAATTCACGCAGAACGTGATACTTTGACAATGACGAATACACCCTACCTTCAAGTTACCGCAAAAGTAATGGATTTCATTTTACCTTTAACAGGGAAGTCTATGCAACTAATATAATATATATATTGTATTAAAACATCGGACAGGAATTCAGAATATAAATCTCCGAATAAAGGTTAATATAAGGAAGGGCTGATAGAGGAGGTTTTTCTTTCAGCTGCAGCTGACTTACAGTTTTTAAAATATTTGTTATAGACCAGGGTAGATCATTTTTGAAAACAAGAAAAAAAATCATAGTTGGATGAAACCTATCGGAAACAAACGATAAAATGACAAACATTAAAGGAAAAATAATTTTCGGGGATCTGTGGTCAGGAAAAGGAAGGGGAGGTGCGTGGTTAAAATTTCAAGGGTTAAAAACGGTATATCTCGATTTCCGGCAAATTTGTAGATAGTATAGAAAAAAGTTATATGGCAATGTTATAGGTAATAAAATGATCTATAACTTTCGTTATTGACTTTTTTCACATAACCTCAAAATTTAAATGAAAAATTACATATTTTTTCTTCCTTTTATCTTTACCTCGGACTCGACTGGTGTGATTTTACTCCGAATGTTACCCAGGACTTCTGCATAGCTTTTGTCTTCTGCTGGCTTTATTATCACTGTCCTTTTTTTTTTAGGTACGCTCCGATGTTTTCGTTTTTCTGTTGCCTCAATCCTTTTCGTTTTCTTTTCAGTGGGTTATGCCACATGTTTTCGCTTTCCTATTGTCTCAATTCTTTTCGTTTCTTATAGGTCTAATATATATTTTTTCAATATACTCATAAAATCAGGACCTTACTAATATCCATGCGAGCCCAGAGTTTGTTTCCTGCACGCATTTATATAAATGCATGTAATTTGGGATTAAGTTATTTCGATATAGCGTTCTACGTCGCGTAGAATTATCCGCTTGGTATATCATGGTCAAGTCTAGATCATTTTAAGATGCGTTATTTAGAGCGAAACTAAGCTTTATTTACTCTAGCTTGACCATAAATGTGCGGTCTTTTACAGGTGATGTCATTTAAATTTCCTTGTGATTATGAAAGTTTTCAGATAATAAAATTAGACAGAAATGGGAGCGGTCTTTCGTAGTAATATATTGAATAATTTTTCTAAAATGACTTAACAATTAACTGTTCGCCGGATCGAATAGAGTATAGATTTTTATATTTTCCAAAATTCTTCGGGTTCGGTGAAGCATGATCATTAAATTCCAACGCAAGCATTAAGCCTTGTCGGATATGGAATTGTGAGATATAATAGTTCTCCTTCGTATGGGAAGAGCATACCGAATTCAAAAGCTTTACCCATTTTGTATGCGTATGGCGATTTTCGAGACACTGAGGTCCTTATCACTTGTATATAGCATATATTACCTGTCTCATTACATCAGAAAAAATGGTAGATGGATCTTACTTGAGATGCAAAATAAAATAAAAATAATACAGCTTTATTTAATACTAAAAAGCTTCACTAAATGTTGTGTTGATAACTTATGAGTAATTAACTGGAATATCTAAATAAAAGCGTTGATTGGCGCGTTTCTTACCGCTCAGCGTTAACGCCGACGCGACATCCCTAAATAAAGCGGCAAATTTACGTCAAAGTCTCACTTACATTAATTTGTACAGACATAATCATCAAGCGTCAAGAAATTTTTGAGAAAAATTACAAATTTTGCGTTTTCTACAGCCAACTTTACTTAAAGCGCTGTCAAAATCAAATTTTTCAACCGCTCAGCGTTGCCTCCGTGTTTATTTAGGTATGCGCCATACAAAATTTATAGGCAAGGAATTTTTGACAGTAATGCTACTTTTATATTGGGACGGCAGTAAGTGATGACAATTGTTGTTGTTGTAAGCAACCGCTACTATCTAATCCCCGCATTGTGGTAAGGTTCGGGCTGGTTGTCATCGATGTGATCTAACGGTAGGCCCTGGAAACGTTCTGTTTCTGCGGGGTCGGATAATAGGGAGAGGGGTGTTAGATGAGTGAGCATGCAAAAAGGTGGTTAGTGTCATGCGGGGACTTACAGCAACGTTTCTTTTTCCATGAGCTGCCGGCTAGCGACTTAAGGATTTTGTTGCGGCTCTGTACTTTGGCAGTTATCGCGGTCTTAAGAGGAGTGAAGGAGCTCAGACTGTCGAATGTAACACCTAAAATCTTAGGGTTATGGAGAGTTGGAATTTTAACGTCATCGACTGTGACTCTTTCGTCCAGTTTGTGAATATCGTTGCTGGGGATTTGGTGAGAGAGAGGGTCAAGCCTTGCAGAGAAGAAGTGAGAGAGGTCGGAAGGATAGCGGTTTACTTTCGAACTCATGTCGTCGATTCCATGGCCTGGCGGCAATATCGTACAATCATCAGCGTACGAATTGAGAAAATTCCCTCTGGGGGTTTAGGGAGTTTCAAATTGTAGAAATTAAACAGTAACGTGGTTCTTAATTTAGAGTTTTGACCTCGATACAGTACGGATGATTTCCGACCGCTCAGGTAGTTCATGGTCCATCTCTTTAGCCCTCGATAGAGCGTGGATTGTTCGATGTCCTCAAGTAGCGCTATAAGATTGACGTTTGACTGTGTCAAAGGCTACGAATATCGTTCTTTCACTAGGTGGTTTTTGATTTGATGTGGAGGTGCTGTGCACTTTACGGAAGCCATTTTAATGGTCAGTCTTACGCGTAGGTAGTTCACCGCTTTTTGTGTCCGTATCCGTAGTCGTTTGCATACTTATTTCGAGAGATATGTGCTTATTTGTTAGCAGTAGCTTTCGAGAACGTCGATCATGTCCGCCCATCAAGCGCTTTTGAAGGCGTTTCGGACGTCTAGAGTCGCCCGCAAAACTTCTCTTTTGTACTTATGGCATCTGCGCTGTGCGGCTTCTACGCTTTCAATGATGCATCTCATAGCTCCTAAAGTTGACCTGCCGGGTCTAAAGCAGTGTTGTCTAGGGGAGAGTCCTCAAGCTTCGTTGATGGCCGCTTCGAGTCTGGCTTTAAGTGGCCTTTCCCGCTGTGTCAAGCATACAATAGTGGACGGTATGTTATATTAAGCATTATGTGCTCGACAACTTTTCCCGCGATTTCAAGGGAGCTGCTAGATAGGGTATGGTCGTCTATAGCGGAGATTAATTACGATGTGTTTAGTCTCGAGACGCTCCATTTACGGGTTATTTTTCATGTACACGTTTGTTTCGGTGTCCACCGCAAAAGAGATGTACTGATGATCGCTTCCAGTGTAATCTTCTAGGACTCTGCATTTCTTTATTAAGTCTGCCATGCGTTCTGATAAAAGAGTAATATCTGGTGTGGTTTCCTCGCATCCTGGTCTTTGAAACGTGGTTGTATTTTCCGTATTAAGCACTATTAGACCAAGCCGCGCAGCCGTTTCTAGACTGTGCTTTCCTTTCGAATCCGTGTTTGGCATACCCCAATCTATGGCTTTTGAATTTAGGTCTCCGGCAAAAATCAATTGACCTTCTATAGACCTGGCTGTATCCTCTATATTGTCGTGCTTTTCTTGAAATTCTTGTATGTACACCTCTTGTTTGACCTAACCTCATAAAAAAAGTCTGGTGCAGTCGGATCGGGTGCAAGCGATAACTGTGTTGTAGTGTTGCAGATAGGCAATCATTCTGTATAAAGTGGGGGATCGTCTGTGGTTTTAAAAATATGTTTAAAGTAGGCGTGGCTCCGCTCCCTGAAGCCTTTATGTACATAGCTCATAATCTACTAAAACTATATCAGCCAAACCTGCCGGAAACATTTCCTTTTAGAACCTCATCATACAGTGTGAAAATTGATGAAATCGGATATAACGCCCATCCCCATTAGAAAGATTATACTGAAAACTACAAAGAGCGCACTAACTCGCTAAACAAAACGCCAGAAGCAATACATTTACCAGTGGAGATGGTATGCAAGGGCGTTGCAACTACTCGATCAATTACAATCAATTGGTACATATAATATTATATTATATATAGGGGGACTATAATCTTATAGTTCGGAAATGAGCGTATTTGAAAATCTTATCAGATTCCTTCACCAAACAATATATACGCCAAACACCAATAAAGATATCGGAATAAAGCTTTTGACAAATAGTACTTCAACAGTTGGCACTTAATATCTAAAAAAGGTTGACATCGGACCACAATTTTTCAAGCTTTGAGTTACCAAATATAAGATCTTAATGCCTATATTTTAATAGCTACCTGAAATATTGGTCAATCTGTGAGATATTTTAGAGGTTTTAAGCGGGCAGTTTTCCCTGATAGTAATATGGCCTGTTGCGGAGAATTTATTAAATAGGATTAATAAATTTTTTGTCCTTATCTTTGTAATAGGTATATGGGGGCTATCCCATTTTTTATACCCTCTTTTATGAAGCCCTTCCATACCACCTTGGTTGTAAAATTTAATACTTCTGATGCATTTATTTAGTGAGTTATCGTGCATTTAGTAGTTTTCAACATATTCGTTATATGGGGAATGCGCGGGGTTATTATCGTATTTCAATCATCTTCACACTGACGGACGGACGGAGAGACACTCATCCTCTATGGTGATACAAACAACCGTTAGGTGAACAAAACTCTGAACCAGGCAACGGCGCACGGCAGCAAAAAGTACATCGCATGCTTACTTGTGTAGTTTTCGTACTCATGTATCCAAAACGCTCAATCAAGCACGAATTGGTGGTCTACTCATAGATTTTTTTTTACTTAGTTCAATACTTATTTGTATATGTTTAACACTCTTCTACTCTGCTAAGCCAAACACAGAAGTGTCTCTGAGTATAAGGCACAATCCAATTGTAACAGCTCTCTGAGTATTGAGCGTGTTTATTACTTTTTTTTAACCGATTGTTTTGTATTGTACTACATATGAATCAGATTAAGCGGTCGAAGATACAATTTAATATAAGATGTTTATTGTATGTATATACGCATGTAGCCACGTATTTTTGGATTGATTGTATGTGAATATGTGCTGGAAACAAAATGGGTTCGAAAAAAGTTTGTTAATTAGTAAAAAAACGAGTTAGAAATAATACACAAATTGGTCTTATATAGTAATACATACTCGTATTACCTTCTTTGTTTATATAAACATGAATTGTTTGTCTAAAGTTAGGCTTATATATCAATATTTATGTATTAATAGTTTTATTTAAGAATAAAATATTAAAATGTTTGTCTAAAACTATTGCAAAACGAATATAAGAAAGCAAAGTGTTTAAGGTGGTAGTTTGGTAACTTGGTTTGGAAATATTATATATATTAAGAATACACTAAAAATTTTAGAATGAAAATTTTAATAATAACGAAGTTATACAAAATATACGTAAGCATCTCGTAGTAGTACGCATATAAATAAAACCATATTTATTCTGTTGTTGAAACTTTAAAAGCGTTTTTCTCGGAACAACGTTCCTACAGCCGGCTCGGATGATCATATCCAACCGATTAACTGAAATTTGAATATGTTATTCGACTCATCAATAGCTCTGGGAATCTAGGATCTTGTTTTTATTTTTCAACAAGATTGTTTAATCCTAGTTGCAACCGGAATGACAAGCTCACATAACAATCTTTTTGATTTTTCTATTTCAGATGTCCTCAAGCGATCAAATCACTGGGGCCAGTCACCTTTTTTTAGACGCTCACTTGAGTGCTACGAAACAACAAATTTCAACAAAAACAAAAAGACAAATAATTTTTTTGTACTCTCTGAAATTATATATAACAAAATGAAACTGATTGAATTTTATTTTTTTCGAAATAAAATATTCACGTTACCAGACTACTGCCTTTATGATGTCGGCCCTAATCGGTTCCGCTTCTCAGTCATAATGTTATCTGCCAAGGAAAAAGCTCTATCCGATTTTGCTAGAATTTATAAGGCTGGTTTAGATAAGCAAGGGTACACAAAAAATAGACTCCAAGGTTGCCCTGGATATCTCAGCCAATTTTGATGGCTTCAAGTGAAGTGAAATTGTGGAATGTGCTCTTATTTTTATGATAATTGCATATCTTATATTTTGATCAATTATCGGCTTGCTAGGCTGTGTGACAAACGGTAAAATTTTTCTCTATGGTGAAAAATTGTCTGTGGTGTAAACAAATATTACATTTTGCTGTGCCAAAAATTTTGACACTTGAAGTTCAAAATAAACCCAACTACGTCGATTAGGTGTTTGCCTTGTTACTTAAATTATTAAATATATTTGTAAACCAGAAACCAGAAAAATTCATTAATTTGTAGATTTGTAATTAATTGAAAATTTAAGTCAACGGGCTAGACTACTACGACGCTACTTGCATTGATAAATCGGTACAGGTATGTACATACATAATTATATCTTCATACATATATACACACAAATACATTTACATTAAGATCTTTTAATCAACTACAATTTGCAATATTTCGGCTAAATTATAAAAATTCAAAAGGAGGTGTATTGAATAGAATAAATATTAACATAAACTAATGAATAATTACCAATTAATAACGTATTTTATGACATACTTGTTATGTATGAAGTGGATCTTTTAAATTTGTTTATTTCTGAATGCATATCTGTATTCATATTTATAAGTTGTCAAAATTTTACCTAACTCGGGAACTGGGAAAAATTCTGACAGTCGGATTCACCACGAAAAACTTCAAAATTTCACTGTTATCTGTCCATCCTCAGGCTCCTTACCTAAAATATACAAAAAATATGTAGAATGTTTTTAGGTTTAAATAAAAATCGAACATGGAGTTATCTACGAGTTACAGTTTACAAAATGTCCGGTTTTGCTCAATGAACATTTTGCTTTTGTTTCAAAAGTAATTCACATGCTCTCCGAAACTATGATGTCGTCGAATTCTCAGAAATCGATACATTCTATTCGTAGGAGTGAATGGGAGGTTTAAATACGCCAAAGTTATATTTTCAAAATAAACTCAGTGATTTAATACGTGATCAAGTTGTGAATGATAAAACAACATGTCTAAGCGGTGGACGAGGAAAGATATTGGTTTTATTACAGGTGTAGAAAATTTCCGAAGCTTAGTTTGAAAAAGTTGATAGGTGGAATATTTAATTGTCCTCAAATACGACAATTAATAAAAGATACAGATTTCATTAAGGTTATGACTGAAGCTTGGAAAAGTTTTTTTGTTGATAGTCGAAAATTTCGTATAATGGCAGATTACTGCTGCTTCTTGAAAAGAGATTGTCAACTAGAAATATAACATATGTTTTCGACATTTTTCTCTCTGTTTACTTAAATGTATTCTTACCTTTTCACACAAAAAAAATACTGGCAGTATAAATATATATATTATTTTGTTTTATGTTTTCTTATTTTTGTAATGTAAGAATGAAATAAGGAATTCAAAATAAACGAGAGCAAATCTTACGAAATCATTGATAGCTTCATAATATGTGTGCTCAAATATAGCCAAAATAGATCTTATATCCAGGGCAACAAAACCACCAATTAATTATTTAAAATTCCTCTCGTCGTCACCACTTTTTACTACAAATACTTTTCCACTTCTGTCAAAGGAGGCTCTGCGTATTTACACATGTTAGCGTTTGAATTAAATTTAAGTAAAATAATTTGTTTTTTGATATGGTTGAAGGTAGCTCCAAAGAAATGTCAAGTAGTGAAAAACCAAGGCTTTATTGATTATCAGGAATGAATGTTAAGTCTAAATATAAAGGCATCTTGAATAAATTTTTTTTGACTGATGCAAAATTCTTTCATGTTGTTTAATTCGTTTGATTACTAGCCTACAGCTGGTGATGCTTTAATTCAGATAAGGCAAACATATCATCATCATTCGTCACACATATACATACTTTCATTTTGTAAATTATGCAATTTAAACGTGTATTGATTATTAGTGCGTTTACTACATTTTTACCATGATCTGTAACAAATTAAGCTTGCTCAACGTTATTTATATCGAACTGTTTAAACAATACTTTTAATTTTCCGTATACATAATAAGCAGTTGACCGCTAAAAGTCCATCTATTATATTCCTAAATAATTTCTCACATTTAAAAATATTTTTGATAATGTTAAGTTATACCTAAAAAGTACCGTTGAACACAATTGTCGGACCACTTCAAAACTATCTCCTTTATCTGTTTGTTTAGCGTAGCTTTTTTATATTCTACATCTCTGTGCGCTTTGCCAGAAATAGTAGTGACTTCAGGCAGCAAGGCTTCGATGTCAATATTTGCACTGTACGTTGCACAAATCTTGATGAAAAACCTAATCATATATCTAAAACCAAGTCCTTCGGCGCATTTAAATGGACGACAGTCTCGTATAATCCATTTGACATATGCATCAATGGCTTCCTTCTTGTCAGCTTCCAAAACAGTTCGCAGGACTTGTGGTTTCCTTGCAGCTAGGCCTCACTTTTCACGACTTAAATTGGATGTTTGGTATCCAACAAATTTTCGAATTTAATGGCATGTTCGGCAGTATACTAATGGTTCTAAAATCTTTTAAAATTTCAAAAACTTTAATTCAAATATAGCTTTTGTACTTTCATCTTTGCGTCAAAGTGAAAATTTCACTGTTAATTTGTTGGTCAATGAATGACTTATCTTACTTATAATACTTAATTTCCTGTCATTTTAACAAAAAAAAATTGCTCTGTACATGTGTGCTAAGAATACTCTAAAACGAATAATATTGTACATTCTGCAAATGTGTTCAGCATACATAAAACACATAAAAAATGTGTACCGTTATTAATAAACAACGCTTAAGAATCTACAATACAAGCAAAAAATACAACATGAATAAAATAGCAAATACAATAGATAAGTACACACGCTACTGGTGATTAATATTTTTTGTACTTATATTTGCTCGTCATGAGTTTTGGTTTAACTTATTCATATATAATATAAGTAAGATCGCCTAAGATCGATGCAAATAAAAACGAGAGTGTGTAAAACAAATACAACTACTATGCAACAGCAAATACCACAAAATCCATGTCTATGAGTGTGTGTGGCCACCGCCACCGCTTTTGAAGCAGGTATACTTTGAGTAAGAAAATTAGGCACTCTGTACTGTATTGGCAGTAATAGAAATAAGTGGACGATTGCACAAAAAGTAAAAACCGTATACCAAGCAAACATAAGTAAGTGCCCTTTCACACAGGGACTCAAAAGAGTCTCATACCAGTATTGTGGGCGAGGGGACGACGAGGAAATACGAAGAGACCGTGCCACTCGTGTTCGGGTGGCACGCTTTGTGTTCTTGTTCGTAACAGCTCGCTGCTACCCTTTTCAGCATTCCTTCTCACTTTCAAATTCTTTGAATGGTTGCAAGAGCGCTCGGTTTCAAATGAATTCGATCGCAAATTTGAGTTCTGTTATCTATTTTTGTATGTAATATGCAAATATGTATGCATAGAATAATAGAAATATTATGACAAATTGTAAATAAGGAGAAAATTAAGATATAGATTATGGAGTAAAGAAATTATGAGTTTTTAATACTTAAAGATTAGGAAATTCCTATTATAAATTTGGCCTTCAAAATATTAGTAGCGGATATTCAATACATTCTTGTGGATTAGGGAATTCCCGTCTTTAGTATTTCTTTGAAACTATTTAGCGGGTAGGTCATGGTAATTCATTGCAAGCAAAATGTGTGACCATCATCTCAACATACAAATGAAATACGCAGCACGCAGTGTTGCGCAGTCGAACCGCACAAATATTTACGAAAATTTTGTGAAAAGGAATGCAGAAAAACTAGACTCGAGTTGCTGGACTATTTTTGACCGTGTGAATGCCCAGAGCGACACCAAAAGAAAATTTGAAAAAACTCAGACTCTTTTGAATCCCTGTGTGAAAGTGCACTAAGAGAACGAGAACACCCCATTACAGAAGCAGAAATTTCTGCAACATGTATGTGTGCATATGTAATATTAAAAGTTGGGGTTTGGTGTAGTTCGCAGCCATTGACGGTAAAAACCGTATACCAAGCAAACATAAGTAAGAGAACGAGAACACCCCATTACAGAAGCAGAAATTTCTGCAACATGTATGTGTGCATATGTAATATTAAAAATTGTTTGGTGTAGTTCACAGCCATTGAATATTTGTTTTTGCATTTGTTTGGTTGTTGCGCCATTGAACGGTTTGTAAAATTTTGCAATCGGTGTACCGTGCAAAAGAGTTTTGCAAGAGCAAGAGAAAACCCCTATAATATTTCTATGTATACAATTGTTCTTATCATTCTATAGGCAAAATCGCCTTTTTGCTTTGGTATTGGAAAAAATCAATATTTTCGAGATGACGGAAAATTATTTCTCCGTTTTTCGAAGTCAAAATATGTGACTTCTTTTTTTCAAATAAGAATATTAAAATCATCATTATTAAATGTAATATGTAACTTCCCATCTGGAAAAAACCGGAAATTTATGTGGGAAAAACCCCAATAGACGCGTATTTTCATTATTTAAAGTAATTATCACGATTTTAAAAAAATATTTTTTTTTTCAGAATATTTGCAAAAAAATGTTACAAAAGTAAATGTTTTTAGTCACTGTCGCTACTGTCATGATCATTAAATATATTATTAATATGGTAAAACTCTATTTCTTGTGTATTTCCACGAGATGTTGAAGGTCGTTCTTCAGTTATTGGGTTACGCAACGGACTTAACAATTTTGTAGGTGTAGATAACGGCTCGTCATAATCGTCATTGTCATCACCTTTATGTTTGTGTAACAGGTTCCAATTATACGAAATTTTTATTTTTGCTGCTTTGTCTGTAGTCAATATATTTCGTTTGTGACTATGTATATGCCCATGCGTGTTAAAAGATTCAGTTGCTGGTAAAGTACAGGGAGCAGTGTGAATACGTACTGCAACCCTACTCAGCAATTTGGACTTGCCAAATTACCGGGTCCATTTCTTCCATATAAATGGTCTGCTCCATAAACCCTGTTTAGCTCTCTAATTGGCTAAATCAACATCAACGTCAATACTGAGTGATTCGCTTACGTCGTGTATAAACTCTATGGTGTCCTAATTAAATACCTTGCGATCTTGGATCTAATAAATATGCAGCGTAATGACTGGGTTTCAAACAATTATTTGTTCGTCTAATTACAGCATATGTAATATCTTGTTTGTGATGCTCATTTAGAATGTATATATTCGTAAAGGCAAAATTAAATGCAGACTTAATATCTTTGAAGGCCATATAAACTTCATTTAAAAGTATTGCCATTGCCTTCAAGTTTGAAAATTTTATCATTTATAGGTTCCAGTACTTTTATAAAATTTTCTACCATGCTCCAGAAATTTAAATCCAATAAATTTAGATTTATTTCTCCAGAAATAGTGGCATCTTCGTGAGCAGTTAATGTCGGTAATGCAACTTTAGATTTTGTTAAACCTTTAAACGCAGTGCAGGAATTGCCCCAGCTGGTTTTCCCTGGCAAATATTTTTAATGTTTCACCTGAACTTTTTTCTTTTACAATATGAGCTAAGAAAGCGCTCATACTTTGGTTTCTTTTTATTGCTTTATCGTATCTAATAGTGATAGATAGAGTGCAGATTTAGCAGTCTTCACATATCAAATTCAATGTATGTATGTGCTACACATCTCAGCGGTATTATATGTGCATACGAATTTTTAATTATCTGAAATATCTGTTATCTTCTGACATTTCATATTTGATTCATCTTGCAAGGGATTCTCGGCAGTTGGCTGGTCATCTTGGTGACATTGCCAAATTGGTAAACTTTTTCACAGTGTTTGCCTTTTACTGTTTTACCGGTTGCCGAGCGAAAATAGTTTTTATCTTTCTGGGCATGATGTGGTCTAAGGAAAAACAAATGTAAAAACAGTAGAATAGCAGAGTTCTTCTTAATTAAAGCTCACACTTATCGGTAAGTTACCGTTCATAAAAAGAGGTAGATATCGTCCGTAAGAGTAGCAGGAATTATCAATCCAAAGTAAATCGCGTATTTAATCACTAGGCAATCAAAAGTCCAAAAAACAAAATCCAAATCATCAAATATACCAACAAATTACCACTAGTGCGCATAGTACGAAGTCAATACAACGTGTAAGATGGATAGATCAAGAACGAGTACGCCACTGCTACTCCTACGACATGTATCTAAACATTACCTAGATGTTACATATGTTAAATATGGTAAAACCCATTCGGTTATTTATTTTCTTATTTTTTCCCACATTTGAGTTTTTTCCGGGTAAAATCCCATCTCTGTTTCCGGCACATCATAGAAATCATCGGTACTACAATTTGGTGCCTTCGCTCTACTTCCCCGTTGCCCCGAGGGACCCTTCCCTACACAGTAATCTTTAAAGATATTTCTATCAGTTATAATATGCTGTGGGTTACCGAAAATAGCGGTTTGTTTTTCGAGAACATCAATGCCTCGGCGCCAGTGTTTTTTACCGAGTATAAAAAGCATCTACCCCAGCAATAATTTAGTTTACGCTTTCTTCGTTTGGTCTGCGAAGCTGACATGAACCAAGTGAAAAGTGCTTATTAGCCGATCTGCCTCATGTATTGGATTTAACAAATCTTCTTTCCTTCCAGCCTTTGACGACTACCGATTTTAATTACTATTGAACCTAACTGAGGAATGAAAAATGTTTTCTGAACTGCTAACTGTGTCTTATTCACAGAGAAGACCTGCTTGTGTGCCGGCAGAAATATTTCATTAGCTCCATCAGCGACGGAACCACTATCAGCTCTCTTATTGGATCCTTATGTAGCAGCCCAAGCTTCAAATAGAAATCATCGTAATCAGTTCCTAGACTTTGCACACTGCCCGAATACATTCGTCCTGCTGCTTAGCCTATGCACCAAAGAATCTTCCAACATAAGACACGTTATTCTGCTCAACCCATCAACATAACGCATCTACGAACCATTTTGATGTTCTATTTCATAGTCAAATCCTTACAATAACATCGCCCACTGAGATACTCTTAGACAAATATTCTTCTTTTTCATGGTCATTGCGAACGCGTTGCAATCCGTAACGATTTTGAAATGCAGCCCCAAAAGATATACTCTCCACTTTTTAAGTGCATCGACTATCGCTAACAGCTCTAACTCGTACGAATGGTACGTTTCTTCTGCTGGCTTTGTCTTCCGACTCATGAACTGGATGAAAGCACAAATCTTCACTTTCCTTCTGTAACAGTACACCACCATATCCATGTGACGAGGCGTCCGTATGAACTTAAATTAAATCCTTCGGAGTGTACAATCGTAATACTGGCGCGCAAATCAAAGCAGCTTTCAGTTGCTGCAGCGATGCCTGCTGTTCATTCCCAAACACAAAAGCTACATCCTTACGCAACAGGTCAAACAGTGGTTTGACGACAAAAATAAGAAATAAGCCCTAAGAATCTTTGCACCGATTTTTTATCCATAGACATCGGAAAATTTCTTACTGCCAGAGTCTTCGCTTCTGATGGATTCCTTCTACCATGCTCTATAATGTACCCCAAAATATCAACAGTCGGATTTAGGAACCGGCATTTCTCCCACTTAATCCTGAGGTTAAACTTTGCCGCCCTGCTCAACACAGCTTTTAACTTATCTACATCCTTGTCAAAATTAATTATTTTTGCGAACCCGACTCTATCGGCACGTGGAAAAACCGCTTCGGTAAATCTAACGTCGTAAATACTTTTGCGCCTTGTAACCTCACGATAATGTCATCCATAAACGGCATTAAAAAATT